CGGGAGCCAGTGAGGAGCAGTGGAGGTCGTGGTGGTCTGGTGGGGTGGGGATGGGGAAGGAGTGGGGATAAGGATGGGATGGGAGTAAGGATGGGGTGAGGATGGGCCCCACAAGGGGAGGAGCGTGGGGCTCTCCCATGGGGCAGCCAACACAGAAGCTTCTTTTGATCGATTTTATGAGACAAGGGAAAACAATAAAGGCACAATGAAAGCCTTGATACTTTTAAAAACACAGGCAGTTCTTTAGTATTTTGTTTGATGCCAGTGATGCTCTTTCAAACAAGAGCCCAGAACATTTTCCAGGCCTTTTGGCGGCTGTGCTGTAAGTCATCTCTGGGGCTGTGTCGCCACGTGCTCTTGTGTCCCTCGGTTGTGTCTGTGCTAAGGCCCTGCCCTTTGTGTTCCCGTTTTATCCTTCGTAACAGTTTTTCTCTCAACACCAGAGAGCAGGAAAGGAATCCTCTTAAATCAGTCTGCAGCTCCCTATTTGCATAAACACCACCGCTTCCCAAATTTTCTGGTTTAAAGATGCTGCAAATCCGATAACTGGGCCACTGCCTGGCTTTGAAGTGAGGGAAGTCCTTGAGGCGCTTTCTGCCTCGCAAGATGCGAGGACTGACACGGGGATAGATCACCAGGTTAATGAGATGCACTCGTCTCCCAAACGAGCTGGTGGAGGGGCAGGTCCAGGCCAAGCTGTGGGGTGGTGTCTTCTGCTGGGGGGTTCGGGGGTCCCTGGATGCGCTGGGGAGGAGCTCTTAGAGGGGTGCAGCCTGGCCACGCTCCCTTCTGCCGCCTTCGCTCAGAGATGCTCAGGTCAAAAATAGGGGACGTTGTGGTACCCCACGCGGCTGGGCTGGGCTGGGCGGCAGGCACACCCCATACTTGTACCATGTCGTAGGAGATTTGTGTCTCTCTGAAATGACAACCGTGTATGGTTTCCTTTGCAAAATGCAGCTGGGTTTCGGTGTAGTTTGGGTAGTCACTAAGACTGTGTGATTGAAGGGCAAAATATTAAGTCCTTGACTTAATGAAAGCTCAGAATGAATAAAGTAGCATCTAAATAAAGTAATCTTAAAAATAAGCGTGGGTTTGTTCAGTGTGGGGTTTTTTTTCGATTAGAGTGACCGGCTTCTAATCAAAGGAGGAAAAATCGTCAACGATGATCAGTCATTCTATGCAGACATTTACGTGGAGGACGGTTTAATCAAGTAAGTTCAACTTTTCTATTTGGCGCTGTGATTTCCAACCCATGGAATTTGAACAAGGCTCCTTTCTGGGATTTTTCTCTCTTGGAAATACGTTCCCTTTTGGAAAAACCAAGTATTAGAGCATTGCCAAGCCAGAGCTCCACTGGTGCGATTTTGTGGTGGGAAAGGGGTATCAGGGGATGGTGCTGGGAGCTGCCCAGGAGCGATGGAGCCGGGTTGGGAGCAGCATGTGGGGTCCGGTGCTGAGCCTCCCACACTGAGCCCCCACAGCTCCTCTGCTTGGGGGTCCCTTGGGTGACACAGCAGTGCTTGGCAGTTGGGTTTGCATCCTCACACAGAAGCTGTTGCCAATTACCAGGAGCCCCTGATGTCGTTTGCAGGCAGATCGGGGAGAGCCTGGTGGTCCCCAGCGGCGTGAGGACCATCGACGCCTACGGGCAGCTGGTGATGCCGGGGGGCATCGACGTCCACACCAGGCTGCAGGCGCCCGCCATGGGGATGAGCTCGGCCGACGGCTTCTACCAGGGCACGAGGGCGGCCCTGGCGGGGGGCACCACCATGATCAGTAAGAGGAGCAGCACGGCAGTGCCCCCACAAGCAGTTTGTTTACCGAAACACCCATGGCCTTTTATCCTTGGAGAGGTTATTTACCCTCATGGCAGAGAGATGCTAATTTCTGCTGTAGAAATCAACGCGTCACAGAGCTCATTAAAATGCGCTGTGTGTAATACCTCACATATATTCAAAATATATAGCTGCTCCTGCTTCGCCGCGTAAGAGAATGGAACAGGAGAAAACTTTACACAGCTTTTAATGTTTTTGATAGCTTTGCAACTTTGCTTTTGTAAGAGGTTTTCACCTTTGTGACCATGGGCTCCATTGTTGTGTTAATGTAAAATAACATTGATTTCCATTCTGGTCCCAAGGCCCATGGTAGTGTTTAACCAAAGGCCCAGCCTCAGCAGGCGCTGGCATCGCTTGGGACCAATCTCATGGCCAGGGAATGGGGACAAAGGAGCGGATGGGCTGTGGGTGACTCTGGTGTGGATATGGGTGACTCTGGTGTGGATATGGGTGACTCTGGTGTGGATATGGGTGACCCCAGTGTGGCTGTGGGTGACCCCAGTGTGGCTGCGGGTGACCCAGGTGTGGCTGTGGGTGACCGTGTGGTGTCTCCCCAGTTGACCATGTCTGCCCGGACACTGGGACCAGTCTCCTGGCTGCCTACGAGCAGTGGCGGGGCAGCGCCGACGGCCAGGCCTGCTGCGACTACGCGCTGCACATCGACATCCCGCGCTGGCACGAGAGCCTGAGGGAGGAGATGGAAGCGCTGGTGAAGGACAAGGGTAAGGCACTGACCGCGGTGTTCGGGCGGTGACCCCACAAAATGCCCTCACCAGAATCATTGCAGTCAGGGGCATGAGCGAGTTGCCATGGGGTGAGTGGTGACAGTTATGGCTCCTTTTACCCGGTGATAAATGGGGACCATGCAAGGGACCCTGCTCCTTTGCTATTGAATTGGGACCTGCTCGTCCTCCACCACTTTGTAGATGGGGGCATTGGCACCAGGTTCACACCATAACACCTTAGAGAATCAGAGTCATTAATGTTGGGAAAGCCCTCTAAGATCAAGTCCAATGTCAACCCAACCCCCACCATGGCCACTAAACCACGTCCCCAAGTGCCACATCCACACATTTTGTGAACCCCTCAAGGGATGAGCACTCCTCCACTGCCCTGGGCAGTCCCTGCCAGTGCTGAGAACCCTTTGGGGAAGAAATTTCCCCTCAGATCCAACCTCACCCTCCCCTGGCACAATGTCTTGTTTGTGTGTTCTCACCTTGGGGCAATTTACAGCCGAGTTGTGAAAATTGATTTTGGAAACTAAAGGAGTTTAACTCAACTGAGGGAAACTAACCCCCATCCCGGCTCCTGATGAAATACAAATGTTTGAGGTGGGGTGCATAGACCCCAGCTTTGGGCTTTCCATGGGGATTTTGTTCCTGCACACCCCAAAGCAGCCGCTGGGCATGAGTTACTGGAAACCCTGCGTTTCATTAGTGCTTATTTCCGTGTCTGGAGCTGCATTTCGCTTTCAGGTATGCTAATGCAGAGCTAAATGGCTTCAGTGTAATTTGCAGCCTTGCAAGCAAGGGCTTAATTGGTCAATTAACATAGAAACTCGCAGCAGTCTCCTATTAAAATGCAGAGCGGCTGAAGTAATGCAGCTATTCCGAGCTCATGCCGGGCATTTTTCATCTCTGCGTTGCCATGAAATACAGTTTGTGTGCAAAGCGATGGCAGTTTGGGATCAGGTGTTGCCTCGATCCATATAAAATGCAGTAGCAATTCTCCGGCTTTGCTCGGTGCATCACGTTTGATCTTGGAAGCGAGCGGGGATTTTGTGGGGTACGCAAAGCACCGCACGTGAATAGCGGTGCTGTAAATCACGGGGCTCTGATGCGGGGAGTCTCATCTCGCTGTAATTCGTAGTGTAATTAGCACTGGCACATTAATTCAGACACAGGCACCAAAAGATGGGGATCAGCCATAAATGGAGACCCCTTGGCTGGAGCAATGCATTGGGTCTGGGACTCTGGGGCAAGCTGCAGAGCACCCAAAACCAGAACAGCCTGGGTTGGGTGTTTGGATTAGGTGCACCCAGAGAGGGGTGCACCCTTCCCCAGCTCCCAAACTTTGGGGTTTAGTTGTGGGGACGGTGCTCATTTCAGCCCTCTCTTTGCTTTGCTTTCAGGCTGACTCCAGCCTGCACAGCCCCCAAAGTTCAGACACCCCTGTCCATACCGGGCGGCCGCGTTCTCATCTGGGACCATAATCACACATTTAACTCTCCTTTCCCGAGGTGTGAACTCGTTCCTGGTGTTCATGGCGTACAAGGACAAGCTGCAGTGCAGCGATGCCCAGGTAAGGCAGCCCGTGCCGGCAGGAGCCGTCCCCGTGCGCCCAGCGCCAGCAGTGACACCGGGCGCCCTGCGTCTCTTGGCAGATGTACGAGATCTTCTGCATCATCCGAGAGCTGGGCGCCATTGCCCAAGTGCACGCTGAGAACGGAGACATCATCGATGAGGTCAGTGCTTGTGTTGACATCAAGGCTTGGCCGCGGGTCCCAGTATAGACCAGTTTCCTGAGCAGAGTGGCCCAGAGAGGATGGGCATGAGCATCAGGGGCTGCTGCTAAAACCAGCAGCGTCCTCCCCGTTCCTCACGTGTTTTTGGGTGCTGTCACAGAAATCTCCCCCAAGACTGTCTCGGTATATTTAGGGTGTCTGAAGGGGTGACTGCCTGAAGTGATGCTTGGTCACGTTGTCTTGTTGAGAGTCTGGAGTGCTTGAGGAAATGAAGAGTTTGGATCATTTGATGACACTTGGCAGTGTCTATCAAATCCGAAAACAGCGCTCAGGAGCTTCCTTGGTAGTGCAGGCGTTGCTCATCTGCGTTGTTTTACCTTTAGAAAATAAAACCTTAGCCACAAACCGCAGTGAGATGGTGCGAGCTAGCGTTAGACTTGCAGCTCCTCTCAGCTTGTGGTCACACAGGTGTTGGGTCGGTGTGGGAGGGGAGTTTCAAATGAAAGCAGGATCCCAGTCCTTCAGATGGGCTTACTGGGACAAATGGGGTTAGGGCTAATTCCCACCTCCCTGGGGTTTATCTGAAGAACCTTTTCTTCTATGAAACACAGTGTGACCCCAGTGTTCCCACAGCCTGAGGTGGGGGTGCTGGGAAGGGGCTGCAGCGGCTCGGGGGTACACGTGGTGTCACCTGGGCATGATCACGAACTTCCATCGCCCTCCAGGTTCTCCCAAAAAGGGTTTTAGTGCCCCACATTGCTCTGCGCAGGCTGCTCCCATCACTGACTGCTCTTCCCTTCCTCTCCTCACCCAGGAGCAGAAGAGGCTGCTGGAGCTGGGGATTACGGGGCCGGAGGGACACGTCCTCAGCCGCCCCGAGGAGGTGAGGTCCCCGGCCCCGCTGAACCCCCTTGGCCCTGCCGGACCCCCCTGGCTCCCGCAGCGGCGCTGAGCCGTGTCCTGCCTGTGCCCGCAGGTGGAGGCGGAGGCCGTGTACCGCGCCATCACCATCGCCAAGCAGGCCAACTGTCCCCTCTATGTCACCAAGGTGATGAGCCGGGCGGCGGCAGACGTGCTGGCCCAGGCCAAGAGGAAAGGTAAAGCGCTCTTCCCTGTTTCTACGCTCATCGAGCCTATTTTTGGAATGCCATTCTCACTTCAAGGCTGAGGAACTCGTTATCGCCCCAGTTCTTGCTGTTTTTAAGGGTGCTGGCTTTTCTTTGTGGTGTGCCACAGCTAATTGCTGTGAGCTGAGGGATCTGAGATGTGCTTGAGGCGCTGACACCCAAATTTCAGCAGACGCAGCTGATAAAAAAAGTAGTTCACTTGCAGTCGTTTGTAGCTAAATGACATCTGCAAGACTTTAAAACGAGTGAAACACAAGCTTTTAGGTCACATCACCCTGCAGAGTGGCTCCGATGTGTGGATTTACACAGCAAGGCCCCAGAGACCAGCAGGAGCATCCCTGGAGCCAAGCAGGGACCAGGCAGGGAGATAACAAACAAAAAATGTGAATGGAGCAAACTCCGAATTCAGACATCTTACGATGTGGGCAGAGCTGGGATAATCCAGGGGAGCAGGGTGGAAGCCATGCCCGGAGCATGTGGGGTCCACAGCCCCTCTGTCCCCAGCCAGGGGACCCTGCCAACTTGGTCTGATCTAGAGGATGGCACCATGGCTTGTAGAGATGGGTCTGGGTTGGCTCTAAGGAGAAAACAGATGGATTCAGGGCTTGTTTTGACAGCGTTTCCCTGTTGTATGAGATGACCTGAGGGATTAATGTGAATTTTAAAAAAGCTGAAATAGTGAGGATGCTGAAGATAAGTGAAGCTGTGTTGTATGGTTAACCACGGTGTGTGTCCATGGTGCATGGGAAGGGGCTGCAGAACACACATAGCAATCGTGCTCGTTACCTGGTCAGGGTTGCACTCGTTACCTGGTTGTGTTCATGCTCGTTATCTGGTCAGGGTCACACTCATTAACTTATTGAGTTCATGCTGGTTACCTGGTCAGGTTTGTACTCATTAAATTGTTGGGTTCATGCTGGTTACCTGGTCAGGGTCACACTCATTAACTTGTTGGGTTCATGCTGGTTACCTGGTCAGGGTCGCACTCATTACCTGGTTGGGTTTGTGCTCATTATCTCATTGGGTTCGTGCTTGTTACCCGGTCCGGGCCGCGCTCACTGGTTGCTCTGCAGGCACGGTTGTGTACGGCGAGCCCATCACCGCCAGCCTGGGCACCGACGGCTCGCACTACTGGAGCAAGAACTGGGCCAAAGCCGCCGCCTTCGTCACCTCCCCCCCGCTCAGCCCCGACCCCAGCACGCCGGACCACCTCACCTCGCTGCTGGCATGGTGAGTCCTGGGGCTCATCGAGGCAATGGTGGGCATTCGTGGGATTTTAAAATGGGTGAAACGTCAGGTTTTAGGGCACATCACCCTGCAGAGTGGCTCCCATGTGTGGAGTTACGCAGCAAAGCCCTGGGGACTGACAGGAGCATCCCTGGAGCTGGGCAGGGACCAGGTAGAGAGATAGCTCAAATGGGCAGGGAAATAACAAACAGGAAGGGAAATAAAGATGGGCAGGGAATGTATCTTATGTAGTGTATAAATATATCTCAGTGCATTTAATATTTTCTTAGAAGAGGCAATAAAATCCAAGCATAGTTCAATCCAGCTCAGCTTTGACATAAATCTGTCGGCACACTCCCAGGCCTGTCAAACTCACTGGTGCTCTGATCTCTTCTTACCCTGCCCATCAGCGTGGATCCCATTTCTTCACATCCAGTATGTGATATATAAACGCTTGGCTTTATCCAGGATCTGGATTTATTTAACCATATCCTTGCTCTAAAAGCAGCTTTGCTTGGAGAACTATTTCCTAAAATAACCTGAAGTTCAAAAGGAAGATGCAGAGATTGAAACATTGGCCTAAATAGTAAAAACAGTGGCCAGTTTAGGGGAGAATATGGGCAGTGCTTACGAGGCTGCTGTTTGCATCTCTTAGATGATTCCAGTGCCTAATTACTGTACAAGTTAGTGCAGTGAGATGCCTCTATGTACCTGCAAAAAAATTGCCTTTTATCTTGATTTCCTTTGGCATTTCTGGGTTGTTCATCACGGTTGTTGGTGGTGAAACCAGTCCGTACGAGCCCGAAGCCCCCAGGCCACCAGTGGCCATCACCCGGGCGCCGTGGCCTCCTCCGCGGTGCGGGGCCGGGGGGTGGCAGTGCCACGGTGGTGCCTGCTCTGACCCCTCTGCTCCGCCATGGCAGCGGGGACCTGCAGGTGGCCGGCAGCGCCCACTGCACCTTCAGCACCGCGCAGAAGGCTGTGGGCAAGGACAACTTCACCCTCATCCCCGAGGGCACCAACGGCATCGAGGAGCGGATGGCCATCATCTGGGAGAAGTGCGTGGTAGGTACCGGAACGGCGCCGGGTCCTTGTGAGCGATGCCAGCATCCTCGTTAAGTCAAGCGAGCCGGGAAGTGTGACGTTGTCTAGACTGCTGCTTCAGGGGAGCTTGTTAATGGGGAAAATGTGACACTCGACTGCCTTCAAAGCGTCTTCAAAGGCTGCTCATCCGCCGCAGTCACAACAAAGTCTGTCTGACACATTTTCCTGATGGCGAGACATGACGTCCCTGTTCCCGGTGCTCGCGGGAGGCCTGGGGAGACGGATGGGGACAGGGCCTCAATCCCTCGGCCGCCACGGCCACCAGTGGGGCAGGGTGACACCTCCATGTCTGCGGTGGGACCAGGCCCCGTGTCCCCCACACAGAGGACACCCCACGCTCCCACAGAGCAGCCCTGGGGGGCTCTGGCCTGTGTCCTCCCACACAGGCGGCTCTGGGGGCTTCCAGGAGTGCACCCCCAAGCCCCCATCTTAGGTGGGGTTTGGTCAAGGATAAATGGGATATTCAGGTAATGAAGGTGATAAATAGCACTGCTTGTGTTCACTGCCAGCCTTGCTGAAGTGTCTGTAGCCACCAGGTGTCTGTGTAAGGCATTTGGGGTTTGATTTGGGACATTACTTGAAGAGTTCAGTGTTATGTTGAGGTCTGGTGGTTATGGTGTTGTCAGGAGAAAGTGAGGGGAAAGAAGATGACGATGGGGAAGATACTCAAAGTGTTATAACCTCTGACAGCAGGATTGTGTCATTAATGGGTGTATGGACAGGTTTCCTTCAGTGTCCTGTTCTTTTCAAAGATTTACAGAGAACATTTTGCTATTCCAATATCAGAACTCCGTGATTTTAAAAGTTAAAGCTCTCTAAAGCACGGACCAGTGTGTCCTGGACTGAAGAGTAATTAAATGGCCTCAGGTTGTGCCAGGGGAGGGTGAGGTTGGATCTGAAGGGAAATTTCTTCCCCAAAGGGTTCTCAGCACTGGCAGGGGCTGCCCAGAGCAGTGGTGGAGTCTCCATCCCTGGAGGGGTTCAACAACAGGAGATGAGGGGCTGAGGGACATGGTCAGTGGTGACAGGGCATGGTTGGACTCGGTGATCTTAAAGATCTCTTCCACCCTAATTAGTCCTTGATCTTTAGTGAATGTGAGATGCTCGTATAGGGAGTTGGGGCCCACCACTGGAGCTCTTGTTTTTCAGAGACCTTCAGTCTCACAGATCCAGGGTAAATAAAAACCTATTGCATTATTTAGCCCATAGGAACAAAGTGATCCCGTGCCCTCTCGTTGCAGGTCCCTGGGAAGATGGACGAGAACGACTTTGTGGCGGTGACCAGCACCAACGCTGCCAAGATCTTCAACTGCTACCCCAGGAAGGGACGCGTCGCCGTGGGCTCCGACGCCGACCTGGTGCTGTGGAACCCCAAGGCCACCAAAATCATCTCGGCAAAAACCCACAATCTGGTAAAGCATTCCTAAAATTACTTTCTTGAGCTGGTTTGAGAGTCCGAGCAGTGAAGCAATGTGTTACCTCAGATCAGAAAGGTCAGGACACTGAGCAGTGAGGAGCGGTCTGTGTGGGTAAAGGATGAGGGGCCTTGGATTTGAAATACAAGCAAATGAAATATCCTCGGGTCACTGAGAGTTGGGAAGGGGAAGAGCTGTAACTGGGATGCAGAGAGAGTGCTCTGGGTCTGCGTCTGGTATAGTTTTCAGGATCCATGGACTCACTGTGGACCAGAGAAATGCAAGTGCTGGGCTTGTTTTAGGTATTAAACTACTAATATAGTTTAGTTAATTATTAATTATTAATGATTTAATATAGATTTAATATATTATTATTAAAATTATTATAAAATTACACTATTAATACAGTTTAATATATCGCATCCCTCCTGAGGAGCTGAACCCACCCCTGCATGAGCTCCGTGGGTGCTCCTGGCCCTAGGGGTCACTCATGTGGGAGAGATTCGGGTGCACCCCAATGTCATTTTGGCTGTGGTTTTCCAGGCCATGGGTGTCCCCAAACTAACATCCATGGAGACCCTTGGACAGAAAGAGGTTGGGGTGTTGTGAGGAACATTGGTGACATAGCTGACTGGAGTTGATGTAGTAACGTTGTCACCCATGTGGGTACTTTTACCTTTTTATTGAAGAAAATTGTCATTATGATTGAAATACTCAGGCCTTTTCTTTAAAAAAGGGGGAGGTAAGGGGAAGTACTGAGTGTTTCGAGGGTTTGGTTTCTCCATTGCAGTTTGCTTTAGTTCACACAGTCAGAACCCTGTTATCTGAAATGGGAAGGGTGGGTTAAGTGCAGCTGATGATGTACAAAACCCCTTCCCTTCTCTGGTAAATTGAATATTCTGGTTTGCGTCCCCAGAACGTGGAGTACAACATCTTTGAGGGCACCGAGTGCCACGGGGTCCCCACCGTGGTCATCAGCCAAGGCAGAGTCGTCCTCGAGGACGGGAACCTCTCGGTCACCCAGGGCTCAGGACGCTTCGTTCCCAGAAAGACCTTCCCCGATTTTGTGTATAAAAGGATAAAGGCAAGGAACAGGGTAAGGAGACATTTATTGGCCATAATCTCCTATTTTCAGTGCAATCTCTGTGTTACTGTATTGTGGTCGCTGTTATAGAAACCCTTCTGATGGAATAGGCAACAGAAAGAGGAATGTTATTAGTATTACTTCTTCTCAGGCCTTGGAAACTTCTTGTCATGGTACTGCTTTGGTGTGTGACTTGGCACATTAATCAATAATGCCTATTTTAGTATTATAATTAATAATACTAGAATTATTAGTATTATTTCCCTGTTATAAAGCAGTAATATGCCTTCTAGGCAGTCTGGTTTTGTTCTGCACTGGGGTAGAAGGGAGGTCTCCCTCTCCTGCCTGTGCTTGGAGGGGTTTCTGTTGTTGTTACCGGTGTCTGCGTTGTGTCTCAGACTGACGGACGACTTCAGTGGTTACTGGAAATGCAGTAAGAGAAATCCTGAGCGTGCCAGCACAGCGTTTTAACGAGACAGGAAGACACACAGATGTCTAAAAAGCTTTTTAACAGCTCTGCCCTCTCCCTTTTTCCTTGAGTTACTGTAGACGTTGCCATGATGCATTGTGGATGGAGGGGGAGCAGGAACCCTTAACCCCAAATTACCTGGAGGGGCACCAGTGGTGTTGATAGCTGCTGCAGAACCCCTGCTCTTGGGGGGCTGGGGGCGCCTCCAGAGCCAGGGTGGGTGGGGATGGGGTCCTGGCGGGTCCATGCAGG